ATTTTTCGAATTAAGTATTGTTTTCGTGACTACTAGTAAATCAGTAATATGAGATGTATTCACCCAATTTTGTTTAAGGTGATGAAAGACTGGTAGAAGAAGAATTTTTCCACAAAGATATAAGTTGAGCTGACGTTTCCATTCAATTTCACACAGCCTTGCTGTCCCAAAAGTTGTTCTCATCAAGTCTCCACTGGACTGCAGTTTCGACCTCGCATCGGTCTTATCAACACCCCCAGCGGGTGTCGAACCGCGACAGTGCAGGATGGAAGCTTGACACGCTAACCACTCGGCTCCACTGCCACGAGCGCTTTTTGGGTCACGGGGGAAATGTGAATTTTCAAGTAAGGCCAGACCTTTTTCCCATATCATATTTTTTGGTGCGACTAATTTACTTAATTTTTCGCATTATGTATTGTTTCTAGACTACCAGTAAATCTGTACTATGACTTTGGGCAAAGCAAGGCTATGTGAAATTCAATGGAACCGTCAGCTCAATTCATATCATTGTGGGAAAATTCTATTGGCAGTCCTCCATCACCTGAAACGAAATTGGGTGAAAACATCTTATATTACTGATTTACTGGTAGTCGTGAAAACAATACTTAATTCGAAAAATATATTATTAGTTAATAAGAACATTATACTATCCAGCCTAGATCACCCTCTTCTCCCACTTCTGTCTTATTATAACTTCTGGCTTATTTGCATTCAACTCGTCAAAAAGTGTGCCCTTTTTGCTAAGTTTAGAACAGTAGCATCACACCTGTTCATCTTTGCCTCCTATTCGGATCTCCCTCATGGTCTCGTAGATCGGCTTCTTATCTTTCTGGTCGGCCGATTTAATTCGGTTTCCTTCCAAGGGTACGTTTTAACCCAATCTTTAGAAACACGTACACTATCACCTCACCGAGCAGAGTGCCTAGGCTCTGATTCCAATGCTTGCAGCTAGTAACTGTTGCCCATACCGTTCATTTTCTCGATTAAATCCGTGTTAAACACGCATAAATAAGTCAATCGACATCATAACAAGAAACAACGTCTGGCAAAGCGTTTAGAACCATTTAGCTCCACAAAACCTAGAAACGTAGTTGATGGCATCCCTACTCTTTGATAATAAATGGAAGGGATTATCTGTCATCTTGCTACCGTATACAATTCAAAGTGATTGTTGCAACTGGACAAGGAGTCCGGCATGAAAACATCAAGATTATGACATTTTGAATTCCCGCACTTTAGTAATCGTTTTATCACCAAATATATATTTTTACCATAGACTTATTTTGGTGGATATTATTGTTTTTGAACTCATTGTCTCTTTGACCAGTTGTAGCTTGGCGCTGAGAATGACAAGATCCACTGATGATGCCGACGAAACGTATAAAATGGTACCAAGTTCACGGTTTTACGCTGGGAATTATGAAAACTCCTAGAGCTGAGGACTTTGGATAGGGTTCATCCAAATAAGTCGCCCTGACAACTAGGCCTAATTGCAAAAACGAGGTCAACCCGACTATATACACCTAAAAGAGACTGCGACCATACCGAGGGCCATACCACCTTGGTATTTATATCTTCTATGCAAAATAAAGCCTTTTATTCCCTTTGTGGTGGGCAACCTTAAAGAGCAGTGCCACAATGACGCTTATGTTCGTTAAAAGATGCTTGATGTCCTATATAAGTCTATTTTTTACCCAATTTTTACGCAGACATTTACTTATACTTATAGCGAAAACAGACTACTTGATAGTAGAATGACTCAATTCCGTCAGCTGAACCACGAAAATAAACAACTTTAAGCAGCTATGCTAAAAAATAGGCGAGAAGACGATTGACTCTAAGTTGAATCATGCGTAAATTATGGTTACAAAGAGTAATTGGGTTTCGATTAATATTGGGAAATAAAATTGACTTTCGTTCTTTAGCTATAAGTATGCATAAGCGGTAAGATAATGCCGGATTATCCTCTTGATGTGAGACTTTTACAAAAATGTGCCACAATTTTGGTGATGTCCATCAAAAGGTCAGCCCGTTTTTGTCCAAAAAAAGGGAGGATATCTCATGGTTTGCGTCAATTTTAATGTCGCATTAAAGCCAAACGGTTGCAGTACAACTGAAATCAACCGTTGTCTTCTGGTGCGATATCGGCCTTCATGCACTTTCACACGAAATGAAAGTCTCCCCATTATAACAAGGAATGAGTTCGTCGTCATTCCCCTTTGCAGACAACAGGAATATGCCATGGCTGGCTTAGTCTTCTTCACTTTATTCTCTTTCATGTCGATCCCCAGCACTTGAACCAATTGCAATTTGACACGCAGACCTATCGTACGCCCGCATCGCATGGGATTAGTCGAAAAGAATGGGAGGCACAGTTCATGCATCGACTGGTTTTGTTGCGAGCCCTCTGAAGTGAATTTTATATGATCAAGTGTAGACCTCGGAAGAAGATTTTGGCAGGGAACGAGTAAAATATATGAAAAAATTACTGACATATAGAGGATAGATAGGCAGGTGAGGCAAAAATGGAGAGTGAGGAGAGATAGAAGTAGATTTTCACTGTTCGAGAGCATAAATAGAGCGACTTATTTGAGTGATTATTCGACATTTTACGCAAACCTTCTCATTGAATTGTTTCACATGTACCGACTCAATCTTTTGATGGTCCTCGTAGGGACCACTGTCGCTTTTCTTGTTGTACCCGCAAGGCCTAATCTGTTCGAAGACGACTCAGAAGAACTCCACCGTCTCGGCAGTACTAGCACTCTCGGAGGTAGACGCCATTTTGATCAGTTTGGCCAACACGACGACGAATTCGACCATGAAGCCGTGCTTGGCGCACACGACGAAGTCGAGGCCTTCAAGGAGCTCGAACCAGAGGAGGCCAAAGCGCGTCTCGCAGTGCTGGTGGACAAGATGGACTCCAATAATAACAGTTTTGTGGAGAAGACAGAGCTCCGTGACTGGATTATCTCTTCTTTCAGGTTTTCCTTTCATACTTAAATCATAATTAACTGCCATTTATTAAGTCTTGGTCATTCATAGTCGCTTAGAGTGATTCAAAAGAGTGATGGTGGAATTTCCCAACAATTCCACAATTAAGCCTCACGACAAAATTCACGTGTAAGATGTATTTGCCCTATTTCGTTTAAACTGATGAAGTAATGGTAATTAAATTTTCACACAATCATATGATTAGCCATGATGCTTCCATTGTATTGCACATAGCTTTGCTTTCCAAAATGGTGTTCTCATTCAGGCTGAAGTGAAATTCAATGAAAGCGTCAACTCTACTCATAACATTGTGGGAAAATTCTACTACCAGTCCTTCATTACCTTAAACTAAATATGTTGAAAAGTAACTGAATTTCGATTAATCTCCTGAAATAACATTATTTTTAGGACTTTTATTTCGTATTGAAGTGTATGTATTCATTCTTAACCTTAAACGAAATAGGGTGAATAAATCTCATATTACTAATTCACGGGTAGTATCAAAACTTTACGTATAAACGAAAAATACTTTAACATAACCTTGCCTCTAGAGACGTATATTCTTATTCATACTGATCTCATCATCAGTCCTATTGGATTTCGAAACCGAGTCATGGACATCATGACGACGCCTAGGGTCACAATTCAGCCACGTGTGAGATGCGAATCATGTCACGTTTTATGAGGATGCTTTATAAGGGACCTGGTACATTCCCAAACGTTTCACCGGCATCGTAGTCAGCATCGTCAATGAGTATCGCAATTCTTAGCATCATACAACAACTCGTCAAAGAGAAAAGTGAAGCCGATCCTTTGACCAAACATGTGCTAAACAATTGTGGTATCTTCTCTTCTGCCATGGGTTATTCGCGTTTCCTGTATCATCCTATCATACCTTCGCTATTATTATTATTTAGATATATTTTGGTGTGCTCCTTTGAGCGACATGACACTTTCACAATAAAACTGTCGTTCTCAACACAACCACCCCCCCTTCATCCTTGTACAGGGAATGTTGATCATAGTCTGTTTTATTATTGG